CGGAGGGGGGCGTCGCCGACCACCCCGCTGCCGACCTCAGCCCGCGCGAGCACCGCAGCCTGAACGGCTCGCGTGAGCCGCCCGGCGCGGAGTGGAGTCCGGCGGCGGCGCCCCACCGAGCCGGCCGGTGCTCTTCTTCTTTTTCTCACGGCGCGAGGCGCGCCTCGCTTGTAGGTGGCGACCCCCGCGCACGGCGCCCGCGCGGGTTCGTCCGGGGGCTCGGACGGGGTGCCCTCTTGGCTCGCGGGCGCCGAGAGGACGCTCCGGGAAGAGGCGAGCGTCGCGTGCACCAGCCACCACCACACCCACAGGACCTGGACCCACGTTGGATTCGATAGTATGGAGGTACGGTACTAGGCGAGCGCCGCGTGCGCGCTCCCGTTCTTCAGCTCCGAAGGCCAAGCGGAAGGCGCGCCGTCGAGGAGCGAGCTCATCGCACTCGGGCGCGCGCGTTTCTCGCAGCTGCGCGGGGCGCGCCGAGGCGAGCTCGGGCCGGCGGGGTGAGCACGTGAGCTCTCGCACGGGGTTCTTTTTATCGGAGCAACAGGAGAAAGCGCAACGACCAACGTCCAACGACCGCAAGTTTTTCAGTTTGAACTAGCCTTCGTTACGACACATCGGTCATCGCTCTCCTCTCTCCAACCGGGGGCCCAGCCAGACTCAAGTTTGGTCAGAGTACAGAGACAGAAGAGTCAAGATCGCCGTCCCCCCCCCCCCCCGCCCCCCACCCGGGGGGGACCCCACACATCCCGCTGCCGCACACCCCGCACAGCAAGCCGCTCGTCGGACAGGCGTGCTCGCTCGATGACGATGTCGGCGAGCGCATGGCGCACGCCTTGGACGGTGGCGAAGCCAAAAACACCGATGGTGGCCGTCCGCTGGCGTGAGCGGCGGCGGTCGAGACCTCACCCTTCGCGCCGACGACCCAACCTCACGCGGAACAACCCAACAAGCCGCACCCGACCCAACCCAACAACCCAACCCAAACCCACACACACCCCGGCGCCGCCGCGCCGCCGCCGCCCCGCGCGCACACCCGCCCAGGAGCCCGAACGCGTGCCGCAACCAACTGAGTTCGCCAATGGCTGCGCTGCTCGTCTCTGCAAGCCCGATGGGTAGCAACCCCTTCACCTCCACCGTCGTCGCGCTCACGAGCAAGAACTGGCGCGAGCTGGAGAGCTCTCCGTTCCTCTGGCTCGTCAATGTCTGTAGACAGACGTGAGGCTTCTGCGGCCAGCTGACGCCCAAGTGGGAGAAGCTGGCCGGCGAGCTGAAGAACCTGGTCAAGGTGGCCTACTGGGATACCGAGGCGAACGGTGCCACGCCGCCTCTGCTTGGCCAGATCAAAGGCACGCCCACGATCAAGGCGTTTGTGCCGTCTCGAAAGTCGGTCAAGAACGCCAAGAATGTGGAGGAGTACCAGCAGGCGAGGGAGGTCAAGGACCTCGTCCGGTTCGCGACGTCGCGGATGCCAAACTTTGTGGAGCGCGTCAAGACAGCGCAGGAGCTTGAGGCGGCGCAGGCAGTCCCTATCTCTCGAGCGCCTACCCTCCCTCTCCCTCTCGCTCTGTCTACCTCTACATCACACACACACACACACACACACACACACACACACACACACACACACACACACACTCACACACACACACACACACACGCACGCACGCACGCACGCACGCACACACACACACACAGACA